AAAAAAAAACGGAAAAAAATTGTCAAGTTTAAAATGTTATATTTTTTTATTTTTACCCCTATTTTCTTGATTTTTTTTAGCAAACTGTATAAAATATATCAATTTTAATGTGTAAACTCAGTTTATTATAAACTTTAGTATTTGATTTATTATACAGGATTAATCGAAAGGAGTTATTTATTACTTTATATTTAAAACACCCTGTGCAATAATTTCGCGAGCAAATTTTCCTAAAATATTATTTCTCTGTCAGAACTATGTCTCCTAAGCATTTTCTTTGTTTGACTCATGTCAACACATGCCTTAATTAATTTTTAAGAGCAAAATGAGCTTACCACAAACATTTTCCAATTTTTTCAATTATCGTTACTATTATTCTCCATAATGACGAGGTGGCTTTGGTCATTATTGTTATGTACGAGTGAATTTGATTCTTAGTATCGAAGATTGTGCAAAAGTCATTGATCTTGTTGAAGATGCCGAAATTATGAATATTCGCTCGGTTTTTGAAGAAAAATGGGAAAACATAACACAATATATTTGCAGCCTCATTAACATTTAAACCATCGTGTACAGACAGTTATAGTAGCCGGGGAAGACAATACAAAGGTTAGAGTATTTTTTACAAGGTTTTAGTTAGTTTGTATACTATAACCATAAAATTATTGTCTTATTTATCTCGATTTTTAATAGTTTTTTTTCTAGAATTCGAAAAAATGTCACTGTTAATTTAATTTTTGACACAATATCATTATACATTTGTTGCTTTTAAACAAAACCAACTGTAAAAAAATATAAATAACATAAACACAAAAGAGCACAAAAAATAACAAAACATCAAATGAAATTAAAATCTGTCAATTGAAACGTCTCACAGAACTGTCAAAATATGGGGGTTCATTATGTTGATTCCATTTCTAATGCATGAATATCATGGATAGCAATATAAAGAATTTTAAAAATACTCCAGCAGATAAACAACGTATGTTCTGGCTCAAAATCCCAAGCTTTTTGTTATGAAGGTCCATCCTGTCGTTTAGGTTAGTAACCAAAAGCGAGGAGGGGGGTAAAAGGGGCAGAACCTAGGCAAGACGTAGACACAACGTAGGCAGACGTCGTAGTCCTCGTCGTACCTACATTGTGCCTACGTTGTGTCACTTTCCCCCGCCATTTTTGGTTAAAAAAATGACGGGATGAATCTCAATAAGAAAAAACATGGGATTTTGAGCCAGGACATACATTGCCCTTATCTACTTACTTCTACATTAATCTTTTTATTCAAAGGTTGTTTATAAAACGAAAAAAGTAACTGATGGAAAATTGTTTCTATAGAAACAAAATCATCTACGTGAATAAACCGCTAAATTATATATAATGGATTCCTATTGAAAACACACACCCTGCTTTTATGGACTTGTTGAGATATTAAAATTGATGGTGGAATACTCTAGAGTTTTGCTCCATATTACTTTGATTGATTACACTGCACGTTAGTTCTCGCACTTCGTACTCCGAAATCGATAGATTTAAACTTTTATTGGCACTGCCACACGTATAATACACATGACAGATTGTTGCCAAAATAATACGTCTTCTAAGAGCAGATATTTATTACCGCCTAGAGGCAGCTGGGTAGGAGTACATAAAGGTTACACAGAGGATCTTCGTTTTACGCGGCATATTTATATGCGGTTTCGCTTATACGCGTTTGAATGTTTCACTTATACAAGGTGACCCGGGCTTCCGAAATAGCTCTATATTAGGTATGTTGGTTTGTGATTTTCATTTCACTGTTTTTACATAATATGAGGACAATGGAATCGCACATTTTGAAAGTATTTTTTTTTGTCAACAACAGGGTGATTCAAACATATTATCAAACTAAAATGGCATATTTTTAAATGGAATACTAATTTTTTAGCTCTACGGATTTGCCATTAAATGTTTATTCCAAAAATACCATAAAGTCACATACTATACCGAGTGGTTTTTACAATATAACCGTTTTTAAACTAAATTCACTGTTATTTAAAGATTCAAAGAATTCAAAAATAAAATGTAACAGAAAGTACTGTATAATAGTGACTTTTTCTCTATGATAAAATAGGATAAATGGCAAATAAAATTTGAGAAAAATTATTTGCTATTAAAACATTTATTTGCTAGAAGAATTGATAAAAAAAATAAAAAATGTAAACCTAACCTAATCATACAGAAAGTTTGAAGCTTTTGATTTTATCTTATTAAGTCATTATCAGTTATCAGGTAGTAATTGTTAATTTTGAAGTTTAACTTGATATAATGTCATTTTAACAGAACGTCAACGGTTTTTGTAAACGTATGTTTTAAAAAAACTAAAGTGTGCTCGAATAGTTGCATTTAGATATTTTAAATAGTTTTTTTTCTTTGTTCTTTGTATTTTTTTTTGCTTCCGACGACGGAAAGAGATATACTTTCCAAAACGTTAAGCATTTTTTTGTCCGTTAGGCAAATTTGTTTTTTAGTAAGCCACTGCTGACAATTAGTCTCCGTTGGATTAACGCCAGAAATGTTTACAAAAAATAACTATGTAAATTTTCTTACAGTGGAAAAATACCCATAGGACTTTTTTGAAGAGAAATTAGATAAAGAAACGAAAGAAAAACAATAATCAGATGACACACAGTCTTAATACGCAGGATAGTTCTTGCTTTTAGCCTGGTATCGAAATCACGATCACAGTTCCAAATACAGTTCACCAATAATTACGATTCTGATGAGTAAACGATTTTTTCATTGATGGAACGCATTTTTTCTACTGCGCATAAGCGTAATCGTACCAAGAACGTTGCTATGTTGGAACAAACCCTAAAGATTTCTTCAGATATACCCTTACATTTCATTCTTAAACTATTTGTTAATTTAATTAAAAAGTTTTCAAACCCAGTTTAACAAAAATTTGTCGAATTCTATCCGCGTCCTATCAAAGTTTCATGCATTATTAACAAAGCTGGTCTGCCTTACCTTAGTACTTGTCTTTATCTTGGTTTCAAATTGCCGTTTTCGCATTTCTAAAACTCTGAAACGGTTCTTCCTTTTAGTTTAATTTTAACTTTGTCTATTGCTCCTAGATTTCATCTCTTTAAGTCGAAGTCAAATCAGGAAAAGATGCAATTTGCTACTGAAAAGAGTATATTTTGTAAATTATGTATACCTATGTATATTGTTAAGAGACTCTAATGTGTTCAGTTAACTATGAATTTGAATAATATACAAACATTGATTTAAGAACAGGAACACATTAGATATAACATTAATAAAATTAATGAAACACAATAACCATTAAAAGTTCTTTGAATGTCTTAAACAATGATTCCGCATTGATATTAAAAGAATTGTGAACTTTCGTTGTGTTTTGTATATTTTAAGTTACACAAAGTTATATCTGACTTAAACGCTATGTAAGCTACAATAAATAAAGACAAATCAACATATTAACATATATGCAACAAAATTTATCTGAAAACTAGAAAAAAGGTGAAACAATATAGTAAGGTATTGCGTTGTCGGGAGTTTGGATTCTCCACAGGGAACCTCATTGGAAAAAGCGTAAATTATTTTTTAAAAGAAGCCGTTATTATAGCAACCAATAATAAAATTTTGTATAGCAATCAGTAATAACAATCTTAGTACCGAAACACCTACGATATGGCAACCACTGATAAAATGCTCCAATGCAATGCAGGCCTTCTTGGTAGACAACCTCACGGTTGACTGCACCCAATATTTTCACAGGTGAATTTCTGGCCCCAGTATAAAAGTTCATCAGTTCTAGAAATTAGTTTATTTTACACTTGACAACGGTCAGAGATCCTTCTGACCGAAACTCTTTTATTTTCAATACTGAATCATTCTTAAAGAAACTAGGACTGAGTGGACTCCCATAACAAATGTTTGCCTAGCTTGCCAATGAATCATATCATTTTCTGTAGTTATCTTAAAAAAAATTCTTTTTACATTACTTGATAAGTAAAGTAAAGGATTTTTAAAAGGATATGGATATTGTTTTATTATAATAGTGGACCATAAAATTAACACTACACTATGTCCCTGGATTGCTTTTTGAGGAAATACTTTTTCATTATTAACTATTTGCAAAAAATGCATTCTTCAAAAAAGTTTTTGTTTATTATAAAATTAACACCATTTATACGTATTCAAACTTACATGCTGTCTTAAAGAAAATTAGAAAAGTTTCAAAAGTCAAAACGCGTTTCTATCCTAATATTATTTTATAATGTTTCATTCTTTGATAGATGGTTATTATTAATTTTGCTTAAGATTATATTTTTTCGTGTTTTAATATGTTAAAGAAGCACAAAATTTATTTGGACCAATGTTACTGGAAAGGTAATTATAAATTTTGTGCTAAAATAACTAAAATTCAACTATATTTTCATATTTTTGTATTTTTCCCTAAAACGGTATGAAAATTTAGAAAAGTATAAAGGAGCAAAAATTTTTATGAAAAATACATTTTTCTCAAAAATGTAATAATAAAAACGTATTTCCCCTTGTAACGAAAATCCGGGGACATACTGTATAACCAACCTTCTTTCAACTTTTACATAGGTAAATTTGTTTACAAATAGGTAAAGATCCCATGAAATTTGGTTTCCGTTTGAATTTTGAAACCAGAGGTATTTTACGAAAAATAACATGTCTGAAATTTTCTTACAGAGAAATACCTAGTACCTACTATAATAAATAGTATCATCAATAAATAAGCGTAGTTACAGTTAAATTCACGTACAATGTCATGTAAATTTTTATATAAAATACGAACCACTAAAAGTGATTAATATCTAAGTAAATATATAAGAACAAAAAAAACGTTTTCTCTAAAACGATCATAGGTGTCATACTCGGTGTCATATTATACTAGAGAATAAAAAACAGAATACGATGCACTATTCGGTTTCTATGGTAAAGTTTGATCGATAAAATCTCCGTTTGTCTTACCGTCGACTTTTCCCGGTTCTCATGACATTAGGCTTTCAAAATCAAATTTCACGTCAACTACGGCGATCAAAAACGACCCGTCTCGTTCTTACTTGAAATCCGGCAGTTTTTCCTATTTTTTCTTTTTGTTTTTTTGTGCCCTTCTACGTGTATCGACATGGTGGACTGTCCCGATCCTCGGGGAAACAACGAGCCCGCACTGAGGACATCAGATTTCTATAAAACTTGCACACTGCCGAAACGATTCGATTATCCCAGCTGGTTTTACGGGTACGGAATACAACGGAATCCGCCGGAGCATCCGTTCTACAGAACCACATCTAGCGATTATGGAAGGTAACATATATATTCATTTTTGCTATATACCGGGTGCGTCTCTAAAGTGGCTCACCCCTATAACTTTTTAATTTTTTCAGATAAAACAACGATATTTGGTATGTTAGTATATAATAATAATAATAATAATAATAATAATACTTTATTTTGCATGAATATCATTTACAACAAATGTAATTTACAAATAAAAAATAACAATAAAAAAATTCACAGATTTTGCAACATGCGCAACCATCATAGGCGTATTGAAAATACCAGACACAAAAGTCGGCGGTGGTCAGCAATCACCTGTGTTTTACATTTTATATTAACTTGTGACGTCATTTGGAAGAGCTCAATAGAAATATAAAAGAACTAAAGCTTGTTTGGAAAGCAATTTGACATTCGTGAAGTCAGCGCTCCGGCAACGTATCGCTAATTGCCATTCGCAAATATATTCCAGATACGTATAGCGATATTGTATTTTGATATTTGATCACATAATACTCATTCTGATTGGTTTTATCTGGCTCCATAATGAAATTGTGGGTTCGAGGTGCTATTGCAAATTAATTCGATTAATTCTATGTATATATAGACATAAAATACATACCTCACATTTCTATAGTGTCGTGACCGTGATCGTGACCATTCATGAATCCGTACACGTTCATCTCCATCATTAATATTTTTCTTACTAAATTCTTCACTTTTATAAAAAGCCATCACGATAACTTTTAATCAGAATGAGTATTATGTTACCGTAAAAGCCCGAATATTGGTTCAACGTAGGGTTACCCACGTAGGAGCCCGAAATATGCAAAAAAGGTCACTTTAGGTTAAGTTTAGATTAGGCCTATATTTTTATTAATGCAAAACCAACTAAAACCTAATTCTAATCTAACCTAAACTCACTCCCTCTTTTACATATTTCGGGCTATTATCTGGGTATTTCTAGGTTTAACCAATATTCAAACTTACGGTGTAAATTTATGGACGGTCCATAAATTTAAATTCGCCGTACAAAAAATAAGTAATAGTTACTGTAGATAAAAATAAATTAAAATATAGTTCCACGATAACTTAGTTTGCAGCTTCTTTTCATCATACCTAGTAAAAACCCGTCACAACCGCTACTCATAGTATGTATACCTATGTATTTTTAAACATCATTATGAGATTTAAGTTATAGGTGCCCATAATATGAGTAGCGGTATTAACGGTTTTTTGTTATGATGAAAATGTTGTGTGATATGAAAAAGCAACAAAATATATTATCGATTGCAGCAACTATACCTAGTTTACATTCAGTATGTCCAATTAATATAGAACATTATAGCTATGCATGATTTTAAAAATGTGCTACCATTATATTTTGATAGTTGAGTTTTTGAAATTATTTGTTAGCTTCTTAAACAAAACAGACCCATAATAATTCAAATCTTTATCATCCAAGACTTCCAAGAATAATAAAGTAATCTCACGTCAAAAATTTTTAAAATTATTGCGTGCCTTAAATGTTTGCAAACTTAACAAAAATATGTCTTTGATTACCTGCAATTAATATATTTGGTCCAATTTATCAGTTCTGCATCATATCCGAAATTCAGATTATGTGTGACACAACGAAGAGTCAACGTGCAACGTGAATAAAAAAATTGTAACGTCTTAATTATACTAATTACACAGTCGTTCTCTTGAGTTCTCCTACCTAAAATCTATATTGCCTTCCCTAAGATTTTAAATATAAATGATTGAAACTCATACAAGTTTACCACAATTTAAACTTAAGATAATTATTTAATTATTAAATCCTATTATTAATAATTATATTAAAATATAACACTTACGAAGTTACTAAATATATTAACTATTTCTACTTAATCATTTAATAATTCTGATAAAAACACGCTTGATTATTTATTTTAGAAATCATACGGGCTATAATCATTAATATGACTATATTAACAATACTTTAATCAAAATTTATTTGAAGGAATGCTACTGTATTACAATAATAATTGTAAAACAAGTGTGTAATAATAACTCGGAATAATTATTAAAAACTGCTCATCTTGTTATAGATGTTGGAGTCTTGTCTCTATTATTTTATTAGCCGTTTAGCTATAGTTTGATTTCAGATAATGCAGATTTTAATGTGCCATTTGTGTTTTTTTATTGGAATTATTATTTTTAGCATATTTGGTATACTCTATGAAGTTATTTTTAAGTGCTCCTGTCCATTTTTCAATTATTAAAGTGCCTTTAGATACAATTAAAATTAATTAATTGGTGTATAGTATTTGTATTATGGGTTTGTTTATTTTTATGAAATGATTTTTTTCCTATTAAAATAAACATAGCTTACTAAATCACTAGCTAGCCATTTTTAAATACAGGATGTTAATTAAGTATCTGGCCAAACTTCAGGAGGTGATTCTTTGAGTGTTTTTTAAGGTAAAAGTTCATATAAACATGTGTCCGGAAATGTATAATTTTAAAGATACAGGGGTGTCAAGGTGTTTTCTAATAGACCTTTTTATTAATATCTCAAAGATCCGTTAGCCGATTTTGTTAAAATTTCGCCGTGTTGTGAAATTTAATAAGTTAGCACTAATTAAATGATAATTATTATTTACAACAATATTTAAACGATAAAACTTATCCCAATAAATATTTGGCACCGCCTTGAATTCATTTGTTTTACGTTGGCGGTGGAAACCATGCAAGCTTTTTCTTTGTCCTAAGTTGTTAATTAAAAAAATAATTAACATATAAAAAATATAGGTCCTAATAGCCTAAATTTTATCAAAATATATCAGCAGATCCGATGAGACCCGAATTATTACATGTTTTGGAACTTAATGATTTAATTAATTGTTCCCTTTAATGCATCGATTGTGCGCATTATCCTACGCGCCAAGAAAAAATATTGTATTAGTCTAAATTTATTATTTATGTTATTCCGCTCTTTCACGTATAATTTGCCCCCTGCTTCTCATACGGAAAGAGTTAGATTAAAATAGCCCAACTGTACTTAACAACCCATGCCTTGACGCATATTCTTTTTTATAATAATATCGGCTTTCAAAGACTAAACATCCATATCCATAAAATAGTTGGCCCACACTAATAAGACCTCATTTCGGCCCTCGGACGGCCTTGCTCTATTCAGTTATCGACTTACGTGTTGACAAGTTGATTAGGCAGGTTATTGAACTCCATGTCGGCTCTAGCATGTCGTTTTTTCAAAGATGGGTCCCATATTAACGCGGCCAGAAGTATTTTCAATACTAAAAACATACAAAAAAGGAACTGAAGACAATTAAAATTGGTTTAAATTCAGTTCCTGTCAGATCACAATATCAGCTAGTATAAATGTGTGTTATGTAGCTAAATTATTTTACTGTAACTTATCTACAAATATAAGTAAATTATATTGTAATCCTATGACTAAGAAAATTTAGTATGAAATTCAAAGAAATAAACACAAAGAAAAGTATTTTATACTAAAATAATTATGAGGTAAAAAAACAACTAAGAGGGAAGAGAACTATCCAGAAAATGTTTTTTAAGTTTATTTTTAGATGCAGCACTCTGAAGGTTCATCATTTCTGCTGGTAAACAGTTGTAAAGCTTGGAAATATTAAATGAGAAACATCTAGTGAACAATGCTGTTTTGTGAGGTGGTGGAGTAATAAGTCCCTTAAATCTAAGGTTTAAGTTGTGCACATCTGTTCTGAATTTTATTTTATTCACCAAGTATGGAGGACATTTCTTAGAAATAACTCCATGAAATAAAACCAATGAATGCATCTTACGTCTGTTTTCCATATTCAACCACTTAGCTTCTTTTAACTTATATGACATAAATTGGGATTGATGGACGTATTCAATTGTTTTTGGTCACTTCCGGTTTCACCGGAAATGACTACAATTTTTGATTTTTAAATTGCATCCTCGGTATCTTTTTACTATATTCCATAGAAAATGACACACTGAATCGAATGACATACCATATGTCAATTTTTAACATAGTCACTCAAAAACAAATTCTATTTTAAATTTTAATCTAGAATGCCATGGCTGTGTTAAAAACACTAATTTTTAATCAAGAAGCCTTGGCAAAATAGATTTGATCGTCTAATATTTTTCGTGTCTTGTCCTGGCCCGTTAAAAGATGCCCAAATCGTGTTTTTAATCATATCTCAATTTTTTCAAACGCAACGAGGGTGGCTCAATAGCATATTTGGAAAAAGCATTTTTTTACGAATAATTTGATACACACTTGGTATTTTGAGTCAAATTGACGTTATGAACCGCATCTTACAATTTCAAATAAACCATATGTCAAAATGTCAAAAGTTGACATATGATATGTCATTCGATTCAGAGTGTCATTTTCTATCAAATAAAGTAAAAAAATACCGATGGTGCCATTTAAAAATCAAAAGCTGTAGTCCATTTCCGGTGAAAGCGGAAGTGACCGATAACAATTGAATACGTCAATCAATCCCAATATATGTCATATACTAACATACCTAACATCGTTGTTTTATCTGAAAAAATAAAATAGTTATACGGGTGAGCCACTTTTGAAAAGGCCAAATACGAGGCGAAATATTATCTCCCCAGATGATTTTATGTAAAAATTAAATTAGACTATTTTCAAGAAGCATTAAAGTTAAATCGTCTAGAAATTTCTTTTATTTGGAATAGGCATCTAAACCCTCAACTGGCGTGGTAGGGTCTAGTGGACCCAAGCACTATTTAAACCTCTGTAAAATGTTTACGTTTAAGAATTAGGTCTCGCCGCGCCATTTACCTCTAAGTTAGGGTACCAATATGCAACTGTTAAAGGCGCACTTGATATTATCAAGTATTATTCCTACTAGCGGGGGCTAAAGTTTCATTGCGGTCTGTGTGGCACCACCACGCCAAGAATGTTTCATTATTAGCATGATGGGTAGTCTATAAAGTGTGCCTCACTGATACGCTAATTTTGAGGAAGCATTAATTGT